TATGGGATTTTGTGAATTCTCTAGAGGAATATTTGGACATATTTATATTTAAAATATATGTGTGTGTATGTATTTAATTCCAAACAATTGCTTCACAAATAAACTTTTTATTTTTTATTTATTGATTGATTCATTATAAGTAAATATATCTCTTCATAGTATTCTTTATATGAAATTAAGATCTAAGGAACTTTTTAAGCAGGGTTAAAGTTGTTCTTATTTCCTTGTTAAAAATTTTATGCTAGAGTAATAGTACAGATGACAAGATTTTTTCTTTCTTATTCCTCTATATGAATCCAATCACAAATAACTCTTTCCATGTCTTTAAGTAAGTGATTTAATCTCTCTGGACAAACTTTTTTCACATAAGACGAATGAAGCAGTTGAACTATGATTTTCTATATATTCATTTAATAGAAATCTTCCCTCTGATTTCAGAGGAAATTAATATAAAATTTAATGTTGCTCTTGCTCTTTTAGCAAACTTATTTTCACCACAATATATTTCTTATAAAATAAAGTATTCGAAAAATATATCACTCGTTTTCTTTCTCAGACCTTTAGCTAACATTAGCTCAAACTACTTTTATTTTGCCCTTGAGATAGATTCACCTAAATAATATTTTCCTTGCTAACCTCAATAGCCTGACACAGTATATTACTTTTTGAGTCACTGTCCTCCTTTTCATTTCCAATATTTTCTTAGTCATAACTTTAAGAAAAGGCTTTTATAAAGCCACATTGAATACTGCTAGCTCTTTATTTTCTTTTCTTTGGAAATTGTAAAGTATTATAGTTCTATTACGGGGCTCTTACTCTCTGCCTCAGTGACTTGACTTCCATCTGTATTCATTTTTTTCCCCCTAGCTCAATTCTGAATTCTCTTTATTTAACATTGTGGGTGCCCAGTTTAAAAAAATCCATGTGGTTAATTTCTTTTTATCTAATTCTGATACAGAGAGCCCTGATGTTTTTATCCTTACCAGTTAGCTATAAAATTATTAGCAGTACTGAGAGGCCAAATGATCTTGAGAAAAAGGAGTGGAAGGGAAAACAGAGTGGGTAGTTCCTCGCCTTTAAGTGTCATTAAAACAAGTGGATGGGTCCACTTGTTTGCTAGAAAACAAAAACACAGTGTTCATGAGTTTTTTAGCACTAGAGTTAATTTTTTTTAATTTAAAAAAGTAATATAAACTAAATTTTAATGAAAAAACAATACTTAAGTGCATATTCTCTAAAAATAAAATTATTCATTTCCTAAAAGATTACAGTCTAAGACTAACATATGCCAGATAGATAATCATTGACATTTTATGTATAAGCACGTTCTTATAATATGGATTTAATTTTCCTCTAACGTCAATGTTCACAGGTGAAGAGTGTACACCTCACTATTGGCTTAAATAGACTGAACAGTGGGAGAAAATCAAATCTAGAAATTAGAAATCTGAAAAAGTACAGTAGTAGCAGTGACAATAATGATAAAATAATAATAATGGTTAATATCTTTAAGTCCTGGATATGTGCATGGACCCAGCACTTTATGGGCACTGCTTTATTTTCACAAGAAAACTTAAGGATATAGGTTGTATCTTTATGTATATATTATAGATTAGAAAATGGAGGCTTGGAAAGGGTTTTGTACATTTTCAAGATCATACAGATAATTAGTGGTGAAATTGGAATTCTATCCAAATTCTTGCCCCAGAAAACAAACACTTAATCAATTCTCTGTCCTGGAAAGAAAGAAGGAAAAAGAAAAAAAAAAAAAAAAAAGCTGTATCTTGAAAGGCAATGGCAGAAAGGATATAAACATAAAATTTAAAAAATAGCTATAAATTTATACAAACAATAGGTAAAATTTAGAAAACTTGATTATTGTTTCATTTTTTTCACAAAATGATAGTTATGAATGGATTTTACCAGACAACTAATGAGTTATTAAAGGTATAATGTTTAATGACATGTGCAAATCTTGATTAAATGGAACTCTATAGTACCACTGTATAGGATATACAAGCCTTTACACCAACATGGAGAATTTTCTTGGTACCTCTCTTATGTATCATTTCTGTGGTCTACAGAAAGCCTTGGCTAGGTTTACACTTAATGAATTTCTAGTTTCTAAAGTATCTAGTTCCCACACTTGACATAAGACACACTTTTCTCCTCAGTGCCCCAATCCAATTTAGTTTCTATTCTGATTGAGTAGCCTAAAATAGATGGCAAAGGGAACATTAAAGTTGTAAATAAATGAATCCATTGAAAAATGAGTAAAGAAAATGATGAAATGAGATCTTAATTAGAGCAAAAAATGTGAAGAAAAAATGAAAAATAGTATTTTTTAAAGCAAAGAACGGAGAAGCAAAACATTAAGCAAAACAGATGAAAACACTTTTAAAATAGCAAATAATATTTTAAAAATCCCATACAATGAAGGGATAAATTAAATGTCAGTAGCTTGGGGTCTAGGTTAAAGAGTATCTGAGAAATGAAATTAGAAAAGGACAAATGACCTGATCTTTCCTTTAATGGAGATAAGTCTTCTATAAAGGACAAAGAGGTGATGTCAACCTCATAGTACCAGGTAGAGGTCTTCAGCCTATCCCCAGAGTTTGGGAAGAACATAAGAATAGGAGAGAGAATAAAAATCTTATTCTTGCAAAAACTAGAGTCTATCTACATCCAGTATGTTAGTAGAGTCTTCTTAATATTCATGAACAGAAATGGTATTAATTGTAAATTTAATCTCAGTATACAAGTAAAACCCATTTCTTGTTAGCCAATAGTCTCCTTCGAGGAACTTTGAGATACAAACATCTAATGCCATTTAAGTTGTCTAGGATTCTAATCACTGAGAGAGAATGTTTGTTGGGTATGATACGAGGTAGGGTGGTAGACAGGAAAAGAAATTGGCTAAAATATTGGTAGGACCAGAGCCTGGAACAGAGATAACTAAACTGGATTCATATTCTACTTACTAATTTCTTCTAAAATTAGTTTACTTGCTTCTACATGCAGCTGTTGGATGCAATTATTAAAATCATGTAGCTTTTAATAAGTGGGATCTAGACATTGTGCTGGGAGTATTTTTAGAATAAAGATTTCTTTTAAGTGGATATTATAATGATCCTCTCATACAAAGACATTTATTGGAAAACATATTAAAGAGGTAATTTATTATTCTTATCTTTCTCCTCCTCCCCCTCCCCCATTTTTCCCCATCAAATACTTAAAATTTCTTTTAAATTAACATCTATTACCTCAATTCTCCCACTACGAAACTTTTCTAAAATAAGATTTGAGAAATATTTTAGAAAATGGAAGATAATAATTTACATAAAATTACAATTTGGCAGGATACTCAAAGTATTTGTCATTAAAAGGATTAGTTTATATCAAGGTTGTCTTCTCTTACCCTACACTTAGAATAAGTATCTTAATCTTAAAGATTACATAAATAGGAGAGATTTAATTAAAACTTCAAGAAATGTGTTACTGTTAATTGAATTCTTGCTACAGTTACCTTTGCAAACCAATGTTAATGAAACTCCAGTTCAAAGTGGATGGGTTTGGGGAATTGAGATAGCTATTTATGTCCTTACCTGAGATGCCATGATACTCTTGTCAGTAAAATAGAGAGCCCAATTAGGAGAGTTCTCATTTATAGCTATTGATCAGGTTTACACCAACTGCTGGGATTTCTAAACAAAACGAATCAGGGGTTCAAAGGCCATAAAGCAAGGTCAGTGAGGGAGAAAGGGAAAAACTTCTCTGCCTTTTGAAAGCCTTTCACCTGTGGAGCAGAGAATGGATTTGCTCCTACCTGAAGCCAGGTTCCGCTCCGCCCCTCACCTAGCTCGCTGTCCCTTCCCCCGCTCTCTGAACCTCCCAGTTTGGTATCTCTTGGTATGGTATTACCAAGCTATAAATTGCCCTAGAGCTTAGAGACAATCAGGTCAGCACCGCTCTCACAAGGGAAAAGCTTCTTACTTCCGAGCAGAATCGTTCACGGGGAAGAAGAGGAAGGCGGGAGGGAACCCATGCTTTGTCGTCACTGTGCTGGGGAGGGTGGAGAGAGGTGGGGGAGGAGACTGACAGAAACTGCATTCCCAACAGGGTCGCACTTGGCCCAAGTCTACAAACTTAGTGGTGGCTGCAGTGGAAACTCCCAGTGCACTCTCCACCGCCTGGCTGCCGCAGCTGCTGGGTGGAGTCGCGCTCCCCGGCCCCACCTATGGGACGGATCTTCCCCAGCATTGCTGGTCCACAGCACCCTTCACGAAAAGTCTGCAGGCATCCATCTAGCAAGACTCAGATTATCCTGCCCACCACTTCCACCCCAGAAGCCCGACAGAATACTATGATTAGCCCAGAGGACCCCCTCCCTGTGTCTCAGTTTGAGGATCCTTTCATATCCCCCGCCCTGCTCTGCTTTTGCAACTCTGCTGGGTCAAATGGCCAAAGACAAACTTCTGCCTCTCCTTCCCCGCTCCCACCTTTTCAAAAACCCACAGCCTGCGAGCCCACACACATCGGAACTCCTAGGGTGCTGTTGCATTCTGGGCATGCTCAGTATCAGAGCAGGTTTTGATTGAAAGTTAAAAAAAAAAAAAGAAGAAAGAAAGAAAGAAAAGAAAGGGGGGAAAAGCTTTGTATTATGCTGTCTCCTTCTCTTGTGCCTATGGCTTGCTGAACAGGTTGCAGGGCATCCCTGAGCCTACCCAAAGGGTTTATCAGATGCCCTTGATTCCGTCTCCTTGGGCTCTATCCCTCTCTTCGTTCACGCCCTCCCCCAGCCCTCCCGAATCTCCCTCTTCTGGTCCCTGTCCGCTATGGGGATGGAGAGACACTAACAGAACTGGGATGGGCGATGTTGGCTGAGCGGATCCACCTATTATTAGTGCGCCCGGATTGGCTCCTTGGAGCAGCGTACCCGAGGTGGAACCAATCAGGAGGTTGGGGCTGGGAGCTGATGGGCGGCCGCCTCCTCACTGGAGGGATTCCTGGAGAAGCTGCAGTGTGGGGATGCTCTAGACCGAGTACTGCCCTCGGTGTCTTTTCACCTCCTCCTCCTGCAGCGGCGCCGGCGGCGGCAGCGGCAGCAGCACTTAGCAGCGGCAACTTGAGGCTGCACCCCGGGCCAGCCCCCCAGGGTGGTGCTCAACTGAGACGGGGGCTCAGCGCCCCAAGGGGTGTGTGCAGGGTGAGGGTGGCCCGCTGGGACCAGCTGGTGGCCCTGAGAAACCTCCCACACACCCACACCCACACACCCCTTTTGTGTTGCAGGCTGCCCCTCCAAGAGCAGAGGCAGCAAGAGGACGCGTGTGTCTTGCACAGATCCACGCGGGGAGAGCAGTGGGGCCGGAGACCGGCACCACCTTCTGGTCCTCCAGGTAAGACAGCGAGACTGGCAGCGTGGCCACCTCGGAGGTGCCCATTTGCTTGAATCCGTCCGCAAGATTTTACTCTCGGTACACTTGGGTTTTGGTGGTGGGAGGCTGCGACCTGGGGAGGGAGCCCCGGGTTGCCTATTGTGAGAAATACACTGAGCCACATGTACATCTCCTGGAAAAGCACTTTGCACAGCGCCCGTGATTTAGAGCCTGGAGTTGCTGTTGGGCACCCCCCATCTTCTTGCTCCCTCTTTCCTTCTCATTCTTTCTTCTCCGACCCCCACCCCCAGTCTCAATCTCTCACCTCCCCCGCCCCTCGCTCAGTCTCTCTCGCGTCTTCACCCTCCTCCCATCCTAAGAAGGCACAGGGTTTCTTTCTCATCCTGGAGGGGATTGCCTTTTCTCAGAGGAAAGAGGGGGGTGGTGAAGAAAAGAGAAAGATTTCTTTTTTCACAACCCCCCCCTCCCGGGGTGGGGAACCGAGGTAGAATTCAACCTCTACGAAAATTAGAGTACAGAAAGCAATTAAACTGAATAAAGGGGGTAGACAAGCCACCCAGCCCGGGCTGTCAGAGAGGGGAAGCATCAAGTTTGACTTGATCTCCTCCTTGCAGGAGGCTGTGCCTCTTACTTGATTCCTTCAAACGAAACAGAAATAAACCACTGATCTAACCCACTTTCAGCTGCTTAATTGTTGTTGCTTTTAAGTGCTAACCATCTGATTTTTCCTGTTTCCATCTGTCCTGTGGGACTGATTATTTGGTATTGCCCATCAGTGGTAATGTCTGAACTTTCAGGGGTTTCTCATGTAAAGAAAAAAAAATTAAAAACAGATTATTACTTTCCGGAGGTTCTCTGGTATGGCCTTTTTGTTGGGGGGCAAAAAATGTAAAGTTTCAAAACATTTGTAAGTGACACCAGTGTTATCAAGAGGTTTGGAGTTCTACTTTGAGAAGGCTAATCTTCTAGTTAGTTTTGTGTACATGTTGATTTTCACTTTATTGAATATTAACCCTTCGGTGAAATAAAGCAACTGTTTCACTTTTCTGTTAAAACTAATTTTGTGTATGAATTGCCACTTCATTCTACCTTTTCTCTATGTTTGCATTTTATTGCCTGGATATCAAATTCATGCCTTGCCTTATTTTCCTTTAATGAGAATATTTAATGGATGTAAACATGGTGTTTATGCAATTTCAGTACTCCATTTGGAAGGCACATGGAAGCTCAGTTGGCCAAGAATCCTCTTGTACTGGAACAAAGTTTTGAAAGTAATGGTAGGAAGATAGCCTCAAATTTTAAAAATCTTAAAAGGAAAATTGTTTTTGTTCTCGTGTCTTATTATAAGAAAGAGAAGGATAGCAAAACAGCTATGTTCCCTGGCTGCCGGCCGGCACAATAGGTCAAGTGAAAGGTACTTGTTGGACGAGCCTTGACAGCAGCTTCAGCATCTAATTCCATCATCAGTGATATAAGCTTTCCTTTCCTATTATTCGTCAGAGATGGCTAAGTGATTATTGTCAGATGGGAGGAGGTAGAGAGAAGTGCCTAGTTGAATGTAATGGGAAAGCGTTCCAAGTGGGTCCTACATGAGCAGAGAGAAGCCAGCAGATGTTAGTGTCCAGATGAATCCTTTCCTTTGATTTATCAGGGGAAATGCCAAGTCTTACATTTTTTTCTATGTGCACACTTGGGATAAGAAAAGGCAATCTTCTCTCTAACTCTGTCTGCTCTTCCACACTAATTTACGTACCCCAGAAAGTATTTTTTTCAGCACATATCTTTAGTGTATAAGTTTATACACTGACTTAGAGAAGAGCTGGTTTCATTCACCATCAATGTAATGCATATTTTCTAAACCCATTTTCCATTTGAGGCACTTATCTTTCTAAGTAGAATTACCTAGAGTCACAAAAACAAGATCTTCTGTCTAGGGCTTTGACACTTAAATGCCTTTTTTTTTTTTTTTAATTTTTAATGTAGTATCTCTGTTGAAAGCTACCTAATTTTTAGAGGTGCCACCTTTTGGATACAAGGACAAAAGAACAATCACTTAATTGCTTCATGTGTGTACAACTGAATTAACAAGTTTAGACATGAAAAGATGTACAAAAAGCAAACCCAATTACTTCCCATGTGAGCAAATTAAGATTTTGTTTGCTTATTTCTCTACCGTCTAAGGAAAGGTAAAAGTTTGGGCTTGATTTGTGACAATTATTTTCATTTCTCTTTACAAATGTTAATTATAGCAAGGACATGTAAGAGAGACGCATATAAGTATTTAGTTTTTCACATACTTCTGAAAAATTAAGCCTTTATATTCTAGAAGTCAGAACTAATTCCAATCTATAGTAAGTGGGTTGAGAGAGACTTGAAATGATACATTGTAGGAAATTATTTCCCTGTCATCCCACAAAATGTTCCAGTGTGATAATTTCATACAATCTTCATATTTTCTCCTTTAAAAAGAATATCTTAGCAAATCTTATTAATGTTTCAGAGCAAATATGGTAATTAAACTTTAACATATTTTTATCAGAACTAAAGTCTGCTCCTGTACAGAGGAAATCCTAAACTGTTAATTCCATAAAATACCACACAATAGAGAGTTGTTGCAGAGTGGTTTGAAGCTTCATTTCCTAACAGAGAATATTATTCTATTTGGTCAAATGATCAGATAGTTCTAATCAAGAAATATGAAAATGGATAACATGGTATTTACATGATAAGATTTGCATATTAGGCTTGGTGCTAACTGAAAATAAAACTAGAATATAGTAGCTTGTTTTAATTATATTTGCAAAATGAAATAGAAGATTAATAAATGCAGAATGTGTTAGAAATCTGAAAGTTAATTTGAACTTCCCGTTAACCTAAAGACACCATGGACATGATATCAATTCATCTCTTTCGAGGTCAGTTTATTAAATCAATTTAGGGAAATTCCCCGAACAGGTTTTGAGAAACATCTAATCTTAAAGAACTCAACTTAAGACAGACAATTCTATGAGCCTGAAATACTTATGGCTCTTATGATTTCCAGTTTGTGCAACAGCCGGGAAGAGATATCATTAATGCCAAATTGGAACATAACATTTCTTTTTCTAATGGTAGTGATTAGATGATTTGGGGGAGGGAAAGCAGAAATAAAACCGTTTGATTACATAATGGAACAAATTTGGTCTGTTATTACAAAAAGCCAAGACCAAAGTTTGACTTTCTGCCATAGAATAATGTAGGTGTGGGTCTTGCAAGTGTTTTTGCTAAGTAATAATGCTTTCTAAAATTAAATATCTGATCTACTTGTGGATTTTTAAATTTTTTAAATGATTTGCTTGTCATAAATCCATCTGTATCAAAAGTTTAATGTATAAGAGATGCTTTTTAGCTGAATTTGTTTTCCATTGAGGTTGGCCAAAGCTATTGAGACAGGAGTAAAGTATATGGCATCTGAATACATAAGTATTTATCATTTAGGGATGTATGTATGCATATATATATGTGTGTATACATTTTTAAATTATGTAACATTTTCTAAAAGGATTAGAGATTAATGGACAGTATCAAATAATCTGCTGAAGCTAGGGAGTACTCCTGTAAAAAGTACCATTCAAAGAAAAATAACAGTGTCTTGGGGATGCTTTTAATGGTTCTTTGGTTGAAAGCCTAGGAATGCCCAGAGACAAAATTAACAGGGGGTCTAGATCTTTCCCTTTATATAGCTTTTCCATGGCTTTGGCAAGAAGTTATTTTTATATGAATCAGTATTTAAAAAAATTCTCAGTACAAGAAGATGCACTTCTATATACAGGTAACAAGCTGAAGTCATATTTTCACATGATTTGGACATAAAGGAGGGATAAACTTTTTGTTTTTCTAAGGCTTCTATCAGGTGTTTCTTTGAACACTTGCATAAAGGTAAATTTGTTCCCAATCTTTTACATAATTGAATGACATGGCTATCATTGCTTTTTCAGGTTAGGGGGTGTGGATTGATACTTTAATAATTACTCTAGGTATGATCAATATTTTTTGTAGTATTTTTGAAAACTTGATTTAAACCTCTCCATTAAGTATGGTCATTTTTTTAAAGCAGGGATTTAATTTCTCCAGTTAGAAGAAGACAGTATTTTTCCTTTAGCTTCTCTGCCATTTTAAGAGTTCTTGAAGAACTATTTTATATTGACTATAAGAAACTATGGCAGCAGGGCATATGAACGTCAATCTACTCATGTGTTAGTAATAGGAAAATAAGCTTATTTTAAATTATATGGCAAATATATTCATGCTATCTATTGTAAGTAAGAAAACATGCTGTCCTTTCTTGTATCTATGAATAAAACTTCAACCTTTACTGTTTTAGTGTGTACAATGAGAAATATGCTATGTTGTCAAGAGAGCAAGCACTGGAGATGCTATTTGTGTAGTTTTAAATAGAATTATAGAGGTCCTTTTGCAAAGAAGCCTCCTTTTAAAATCTCTGTCTCCTTAATTTAAAAGCAATATTTAAGAGAGTTCTAAAACAAATTAAAGCCCAATTTAGAATAAAAATAACACATTTATAATAGTATTAGAAATGAATTTTCTGCCACATCCTTAAAAAATGCAAAGCAGATTTAAAAAATTATTTCTCTAATTTCTGTAATTTTTATATTTAGTTTAATTATAAATTCTAGTTGTGTGGAACTAGTTCTTATCCTCTCTGGGCTTCCTTTGTCTCTACAATGCTCAGTGCTTGGAAGTTTATGAGGCATGCTGGTTTCCATAATTTACCAGTAATGTAAATGAGGGGAGGTCACAGTTCATCTTTTTGGTTACTGCTATTGTGGAGATACAAAAAAATATACTGGGTCATTCCTGTATTGGTCTCACATGTAGTATGTTGAACATACTAATTAGACACATAGGGAGTAATTTTGTTAAAGAGGAGCTCTGGAAAATTGTAAAGCAGATGAAGATAATAAATGCCCTTTATTTCTTAGCTGTTTGTACAAAATGGG